ATTTGTTAATTTATTCTCAATATATTTTTATTTATTTCAGAGAGCAAGAGAGAGAGAGAAACATCAGTGATGAGAAAGAATCATTGATCAGCTGCCTCCGGTACACCCCCTGCTGAAGATCAAGCCTGCAACCCGGGCATGTGCCCTTGACCAGAATAGAACCTGAGACCCTTTAGTCCCTAGCCTGATGCTCTATCCACTGAGCCAAACTGGCTAGGACTCATCAGTTGCTTTTGACAAATGCAAGATCACCAGTAATTTTTTTGATAATTTTTAATTTTGAGAAGGATGTTTCTGCTGATGCAACTCTTACTGGTGCTGCTAAGAGTTTTATAGGCTCCAAAAACATTAGGATAAATTTCTGGTAAATTATTTTGAATTATAAATGTTAGTACATCTAGAGCTCCTAATTCTTGCAGAGCAGTTTTTCTAAAAAGATTTAACTCTTTTTGCAAATCGGCTTTTTATAAGTCTGAATGTAGGTTTAAATGTTAATAAATACATATAATGCATTTTAATGTTTCCTCTGACATTTCCTGTAACTTGCAGAGATTTTAAAAGTGGTTTCATTATTTGTAAATAATTTAGAATGCCTATTTTTAAATTCTAATACAGTCAACCCTCCATATCCATGGGTTTTGCATCTGTGGACTTAATCAACCATGGATCAAAAACATTCTAAAAATGTTAAGTTGTTGGTGTGTACTGTATAGTTGGATCTATGATGGATGTGTCTTTACTGAACATGCACAGATTTTTCCCTTACCATTATTCTATAAACAATCAGTATAACAACTGTTTAGTAGCATCTACATTGTATTGGGTATTATAAGTAATCTAGAGATTAAAATAGACAGAAGGATGTACATAGGTTACATGCAAACACTATGCCATTTTATCTAAGGAACTTGGAACATCCACAAGTTTGGTATCCTGTGGGGAGGCCTGGAACCAATCCCCCGTGGATACCAAGGGACAACTGTACTCTATCTTCAATCACAAGGAAAAGTAATTTTACATTTGTCTATTTGTTAATAATTGGTCCATGCAAGTTTTATATGAAAATAGTGGGGTTTATTTCTTTGAAATGCAAGGATCTTTAAATTTAATTTCTATGTCTAAGTCTGTGGATATGTTTTTCAATGTTGCAGTGCTTTTTAAAATCAGAGATTCTAAACTCTTTGAAGAATTCTAATAACTCTTGATAGTGTATTGTAATGCCCATGTGTAGACTTACTGAAAGTGTTTACTACCTAAGTGGTGGCAGATCTGGTACCAGTGCTCGGGCCAGAGAGTTAACATCTGTGCAGATGTTTCAGGGATGTGCTCCAGGGACTGATGGGCAAGCTTGCCTCCCACGACAGGTTTTAGTGCTGCTGCTATGTGGAATACCTTCTATCTCCCAGGGCCGGCTTCTGCTGCAACTGCCTTCACTAATCCAGGTTCAGGTTCTGGTGCAGAGTCCCCTCGGGAACTCCTAGGGTCTCAGACTACTCCATGCATGTGTTTGTGCCTGACATCCAGGCCAATAGCTCAGCATTCAGGGTGCCATCTCCAGTGGGGAGCGTGCGGGAGGCAGCAAGTCAATGACTCTCTCTGATCATTGATGTTTCTATCTCTCCCCCTCCCTTCCTCTTTCGGAAATCATTAATAATATATTTTTTAAAAAACATAAGTTCAAAGATAGAATTATTATGAATTTCAGGATGGTGAGAGCAGAGCATTACACCAAATGCTAGAGAACAGGCTCTATAAAATTCACAGGTCACACACCCATGAAATCACTTCTGAATCCGGTAAAACTCAACCGGGGTGATTTTGTCCATCAGGTGGACTAATTTTGGTTCTAACTATGTGAGGTTTCAGTTGAGCCCCAGAAAGCAAAAGTGACAAGATATATTAGCACCAAACGTAGGTCCTTACCAAGGTCTGGCATTCTCAGGCACAGAAGGCATATCCTCCCCTCTGCACAGTGGTTCTCTAGTAGAATCTCCCGGGAAACTCCAGTGCTGAGCTGTTCCGATACCTTCTTTCAGCTATAGTCTCCTTCCTGAGGGAAAGGAGTGGTGACAACAAAAGACTTGGAAATTGCTCAGTTAAGGCTTTGTTGCTCAAGTAACAGTCCAAGACAGGTCTGGTTTAGGGTGAGGTAGGGTAGGCTCTGCGCCACACAGTCATTCAGGGATCTAAGTTGCTGGTAACTACAACATCCTAAAATGGTGGCTTCAAAGTCACTACAGGCATTGACATCTAGTGGCAAATGGAGGTGCACACTTAGTCTAGGGCTTGGAGGTGAGACAGATCACTTCCTGTTCAATTCCAATGGCCACAAATCAGAAATATTGTCATACCTAAGTACATGAGGCTGGGAAACTTAGTCTAATTCTGGGCACAGGATGATGAGGAAATAGTGCTAAGATCCCCTTCTAGCCTCTACCACAAGAAATTTGCAAAAATGGGAGATTTGGAATAAAATGTGTATAATGCATCCCCAGCCTTTTTGAGATAGGTCTGTTGGGTCAGACTGCCCAGAGAGACAGCTTTCCAGCGGTGATTCCTTGTACTCATTGATAGTGTTGGGTTCACATTACAGTTTATGTTCTGGGAAGAGCAGGGGTGGAGCATCCAGCAAACTAGTGCCAAGCTGACTGGCACTTCTCATGATAAATGACCAACTTGGCTTTTGTACAACTCAGTTTTGCGTGTCCTTAGTGTGATTCGTTTGCTCACAGTTAAGCAAGTCATCATTGTTCTGTGTGTAGTTCAGAAAAGTCAAATTCAGAACTATGGAGGTGAAAGCAACATTGAGATCATAATAACTCTACCTGCCTCATATCAAATAAGAAATCAACATTATAAATGAACAAATTGAGTATTTAGCATTAAATCTTTGATGCCAGAAGACTTATGTAAAACACATGATATAATTAATTTTGGTGAACTTTAGTCTGGTTCTTCATGGCAAGTAGGAGAACTATGACTATAGAGCAATAATCCTTCCCTATTTCACCTTGTCAATATTTTAGAGGACCAAGCTGGAGGAATTGTTAAAAGAAGGCATCTAGCTGATTGGGCAAAGCCTTATGGCAGAGTATCTGAATCAGTCCTAATTGACCCCTGTTGCTGTGACATAATCATTAAAAATATCCCCTTTTACTCTCAAAAGATTCCTGGTTTGTACAAAAAATTATACAGTAATCCTGTGACCAGGGAGTAGTACATTTATGTGCTCACAATTGTTTGCAGCTACAAAACCAGCAGCTCAGGGTTGTCAGGACACTCAGGCTGATTCAAGGTGGAAGGAAGCTGATTCCCCAGGAAATTACAGGAGAGTGATGCTTTAACCAGAACACTGAGTTTTTCACTTAATGAAGAACTTAACTGCCAAGCAGAGTGGAAACTAATGTTGCTTTGTCTGTCCTATATAATAAAAGCCCAGTGACCAAAAAGGCAAAACAACCAGAAACCAGAATGACCACAGCTCCTCGCCCAAGCTGGCCTCACCTCCCAGTGAGCAGTTAGGAGAGATCAGACAGGCAAGTGAATGGTTAGGAGTGATCAGGCAGGCAGATGAATGTTTAGGAGCGATCAGGCATGCATGCAGAGTGGTTAGGTCTGCAGGATCGGGCCTAAACTGGCAGTCAGACATCCCCGGAAAGGTTCCAGATTGTGGGAGGGTGCAGGCTGGGCTGAGGGGCACTCCACCCCTCCGCCCCCCATGCATGCATTTCATGCACCAGGCCTCTAGTGTGTTAATAATCATTTTCTTCCTTGAAGGGTACTTTCCTTGGAAAACTCAAAATCCTTGTAATTGCCAAAATCATAATTCTTGTAGATGAGGAGACTCAGTTGATCCTTGTTAATTGGAGGAGCTGTATAATTTGCAAGACTTATTTCAATACTTGATACTCACACAAAGCTTATCCTTTGTTCTAAGAGTTTTCCTTTACAATCAGAAAATTGGCCTTGGTTCTCTTTTCAAAGTGATATTGGGCTAAGCATCAGCCATAGGTAAAGAGTAGAGAGGTGTGCTTCCAATCAGCGCCCTGGTCTTTCCTAAGATTTTAAGTCCCAAGTTCCCTCACCCATTTGCAAGGCATGGGTAGCTATTCCTAGCACAGGAAGACACCTTTTTCTGGCCAGATATGGTGACATGCTGAGGTCAGTGGCAGACATCCCCTGATGCCTGAGGGGTCAGCCAGGAGCAGCCTCTCCACTCCTTCCTTGCAACATTGGAGGCTGCAGAGATCCTGAACGTTCTTGAGTGTGTTTAGTGTAAATCTTGCTCCTCCCAACCCCAGTTCCCAATAAATAATACACTTTGGCCAAAAGAGGATTAAAATCAGTTTTATTGATGGATTGGAGAATACAGCTGGGATTTGAGGCCCACGTGAGGCTTCTTTTGTCCTCTCTGAAGTGATGATGGCTGAGCCCACTGGGCAGGGCTTGGAAGACTTACCCACCCCATCACAAACGAGGCTGGATTGTGGAGAGCAGAGTCCTGACTGGCCCACCACGGGCAGGTCCTGCTGGGTCTGTTTACTGCATGGAGACTGGATGCCCAAAAGCAGGTCCAAGAGAAAGAGAGAGAGAGAGAGAAGCAGGAGGACAAGTAAGCAGGGACTTTTAGCACAATATCTCCACCCAGAAGAGAAAGATGGCCCAAAGAGATTCATCAATCATAACCATCCTGAGATTACCCCACAGATGGAAGCTCCTCCCCAGTACTTTCCTCCCAAGCTGGAGTGTGTAAGAGATCTTTCCTCTATTTATTTGAGCAAGAAATGATAGAATAAGGAAAGGGTTTCTACCAAGAGGCAAGGTTGGGTTGGGAGCCTGGAACACTCAACAAAAAAGTGGCCAAAGACCATTTTGTGTGAGCCTTCCAGTCTGCAGATACTAAACCCCCAAAAAGGTACTGACTAGAGCTGGGACAGAAGGTCCATGTCAGCTCATGCCTGCACACTAACCACGGATTCCTTTTCTTGCCTGTACTCTAGATCCTGAACCTCTGGGGACTGCCGAGTAAGAACTTGAACTTGACAGACTTCACACCCCCCACACCTCCAACGGGTGAAATGGATGAAAGGGGTCAGAAGGTACAAATTTCTAATTGTAAGATAAATAAGTTCGGGGGGTATAATATACAGTATGGTGAGTACAGATGATAATACTGTATTGCATATTTGAAAGTTGCTAAGAGAGTTAGATCTTAGAAGTTCTCATCACAAGAAAAAAATTATAACTGTTAGGTAATGGATTTTGCTAAACTCAATCATTGTGGTATACCTAAAACTAATACAGTGTCATATGTTAATTATATCTCGATAAAACTGGGTGGGGTGGGGGGAGAACTTGATAGACTTAAGAGGCCACACAGCTGGGGTACAGTTCCACAGGACACATGGTGTTCCTGTAGCACAGAGAGTCCCTTTTGCTTCATGCAGAATAAAACCCTCTGATTTCACTGTAGGTGTGCAGTTTTAGCTTTGTGACAAACCAAAGCAGAGGGCCATGCTGCATGGAGGAGAAGATAGGGATAGAATAGAAAAGGCAAATTCTCCCAAGGCCATAAACAGGCAAGAGAAGGTGAATGGCAAGTGTTGCAGAGCCGAGGCTGCATAACTATTCCTGGCACAGGAAGACACCCTTTTCTGGCCAGAAATGGTGACATACTAATTTCTAGCACTCTAAAATCCTTCCTCCTCCATCCTACCTGTCATGCAGAACACTCCTATTTTTTTCTGTTTCTCTAGTTACCTTGGTGCCATAGCTGTCTCTCAGATGGGTGTATTTCCAGTACACTCAATATTCCTGCTTTTAGCCAGGGTGGCTTCTGCAAAATATTACTCCCATCCATTGTCTGCATGTTTTTCACACTGTCACCATTCAAGGGTGACCTCATTTCATGGTCCTAGATGACACCTTTCTGTAGTTTCCAACAGGCTATTTATACAGTTTTGCTGTGAATAAAACTAAATGATTGATGAAACATTTTTCCCCAGAGTACGTTTATTAGGGATTTCTGCCACCATATTAACATATAAAACAATCTGAATGTTGACATAGAAATGCAAATTTCACTATACAAAGATAAGGCTCCAATTATAGGTAACATGGCCCCCATATCCCTAGTATTTCAATGAAATCAATTCATATTGAATTCTTCCCAGAGTTGATTTTATAAATATTAGACAAGCCACAAAATATATTCCAAATACATAACATTTTACATGTTCCAAGCACAGACAGAAACACGATACTTTACCTACACTTTTTCATGATCCAACTTGCAATAGCACTAAAGACAAGATTGTGTGTGTATATGTATTTGCCATATATGTGTGTGTATATATAATTATGTACACACAGTGATTTTCATGAGAAATTGAAACCTTTGAGACTGTTTTATCCACCATGATAACTGATAGGGGAAAAGGAATAATAACATCACAAATTCCTCAATTGGGAAAAAGTAAACACAACTGTGTATGAGGGGCATTTCAGTGGGGTGACATATATTCATACATAAACACATATGCCAATAATATGGACTATACATATACTCACACACTTGCTTTGACCACTGTATCTCACTATATTATTATATACTTTCCATCGTGGAAGCAGTCTTTTTCTCATTTCATTCAGGCAGCTGGTGACAAGTCTTCTACCAAACTTAAGTGGTATTCCTAAAATGGCTCTTATTCTATCCCACTTTTACTTTTGGTGACTATTGTTTAAATTCAGCTGACCCTATCCTGTCAGCTCCTTCACTTAAAATATTTCTATTCAATAATCAAGTTTTCGCCTAAGAGAAAAAAGAGATGTTAGCCGGAAGTGTACAAATAATAAATGTATTACTAATTAATATAGATCTGCATGGTTGGACTACATGTGATATTTATCCTGTCAGTAGTTTTCAAATGTTTTATGATGGGCAATATATTTCTTCCATAATTTAAAAATATTATTTTAAAGGATGAAAGCTAGATGATTTGGCATGGTCAGAAATTGAAGCATAATCAGAAAGGGGACACGGGTGGGCCCTTTTATCAGAAAGTATGACTTCAATGTCATATGAAAAGGGAGGGGGGAAATAACTTCAATTTCAAAGCTGGTCATTTGCAAACTTCCAAAATGAACTATAGAAAATATATGTGTATATATTGTTATCCAATTTCAGGTATGAAACATTAAAACGCAAAAAGAAAGCACATGAGAAAGAACACCCTACAAACTTAATATAAAATGAATATTATAGTTTGCTTAACTGAAGGCTTTATAAGCCGACTTTTAAAACTTACTTTCAAAATTAAATATCTAATACAGCACTCAGAGCTCCATGAGTAAGTAGGACTGGAATGACCAGTGTGGAGATTATGCTAATATCAAACTGAAGTGTCCATTGGAGTTAGGGAGAGATTACAGGAAGCCCAATCTCTTTGTAAATGAAGGCTATGGAACATTTTCAATTCAAGGAGAAATCCAAACCTCCTTGCTCTTACCTTTCTCACTTATGGTATACCGCAGGATTGGTCATTATGCTGCCTGGGAAGGCATCAGAGCCTTTCTGTCATGGATTTAATGGTATGAAGGAAGGTACTAGAACATTTGTCCCTTCTACTGAGTCTCACTACTTCACCCAAGCTGAAATATGTCATTTAATGAATCCCGTCTACTTCCTTAATGAGAGCCCCAATTATGAATGAGTTCTTAAAGAAACCAGGAAAGGAATATAATTACTATCACAAAAGATAATTGGCATTTATCAAAAAGCCAGAATCCATTCTCTCCCCACCCCCTCTCTCACATACACATACTTCTTTTAAAGTTTCTTCCACAGAAACACAATGAATGGCATGAGGAACCAAAAATGTACCTTAACATTTCTCCACTTTTATTTCGATCCACTTAAATATATTCATGTCAACTTGGACAGCGAGTGTGCTGTTCTTTACAGTATCCAATACCTTGCATCACCATCACTTCCATAAAATAGATCACCTTCCTACCACCACTTGCCTACCAGCCTCACCTAAAACAGTTTTTGCTACTTGCCATTTGTCCAACATCTGCTTCCACTCTTGGATAAATGTACAATAACATGCAATTAATTGGCATATACCTTTACTTTTTCCTTTAAAGTTTTGCTTCCTTAGCCAAAATATATGGACGGAATGCAAATGAAAGTAACAAGTCCTCTCATCCAAATACTTTTGAAAATGGACCCTGTGGTCCATTTAATGCTCAGTTTCTACATCCTCCAGTTCCATCATTTGTTTTAGGAGCCTACTTACTATAGTCTTTCTACCTATTTTCTATCTCATATGCAGCTAACAACAAATTATGGGATTTTTTTACCCAAAATTATTTTTAAAAACAAACCTGGGCCAAAACATTAAAAAATTCCCAACATACCCTTTGTGCATTAGTCTTACAGTCTGTACAATAACTCCAGGAGGCTTCTTTTTTTTTCTTTTTTCTTTTTTTTTTTGCTAAAAATTTACCAAAATATTCTGAACACATAAAAATATTTTTAAAAAAACAAAAACCCAGCATTAATTTAACAGTATAGGCATTGGTTAGAGGACATTATTTTCACTAAGGATTATATTCAAAAACTTTCTCTTGAATTTTCACTAAAATTCTGATTCTGAACCTTATATCTTATAATGATGATAACTATTAAAAAGGGGGGAAATCTAATTCAGCTCAATGTATTATGTATTATAATAGATAAAGAGTCTGCCTGTGATATAATAAAAATAAACATTTTGGGTTATTTAGAGGCCAACTCCCTGACCTATAACTGAAATTACTGTGTTTGATTTAAACTTATTAAGTGCAGTGAATTATGGAAAGCTAACTTAAAGGTCTGAATAATCAATTTTGAGTAAGGAACACATGTTGACGGCTCCTTGACCACTCAGAACCAGGCATTTGCTTGAGAAATACACATCACTAATATTGAATATAGCCCTTAGTCATATGAGATATGTATTTTATGAGCAACCCAGCATATAGAGAATGAGGTTTACTTTGCCAGCCACCCACTCCTTGAGAGGACAGTAATATTCATAGTGAAACTGCTCAAACTCTGGCGTCTGGCGGATTTCACATAAGAAGGAGAGATCAATACCTGACTCCAAAAGGAGGAGGAGCAGGGGGAATACAAAGAGCAGCAGCCCCAGGCCCACCACAAGGAGCCTGGAAAAACTCTTGACCAGTGGGTTCACCCGAATATGGCCGGTCAGAATGTCATAGCTCCATGACAAAGCTCGGTGAGCCTCCTTTAGCTCCTCTTCTTCAGCCATCAAAAAGGCATTTTCATCTGCTTCCAGTTCCTCAAATGAATCTAGGTCTTCTCTTTCCAACTCATGCCTAGATGGACAGTCAAAGAGCATGTCAATCTCATCATCATCAACTGGGGTGGGGAGCAGGCTTGCACTGGGGTTGTATGACAGTTCAGAGATAGTCAAAGGCTCTTCTTTTATTTTATCTTCCTCTTCACTTAGGGGGTCTTCATACTCCCGGGCTTCTTTCACCGGTGAGCTGGAGATCAAGGGGGCAGAAATGTCATCTTCTTTTGGCAAAGGAATACCTGTAAAGAGACATTTTTTTTTTAATTCAGGTTTGCTTTTTCCACAAAGATAGAAACACACCAAAAAATAAAAAATAAAAAAAAGACACACCTCTTATGGTTGGCGTGTTTACATTTATGTGTGCAATTATGACCTTCAACTTTGATCATTTGCAAGAATAAAATGACAATAAATCACTATTATAATTTTGAATGGTGTCTTTTAGAAGTCAATACTGTCAAAATATTATAGTATAATTATACTACTATCCAATTATAAACAGTTATTATGTTATATACTAGATGCCCGGTGCACAAAATTCATGCACTGGGAGGGGGGGTGGTGGAATCCCTCAGCCCAGCCTGCTCTCTCTCACAGTCCGGGACCCCTCGGGGAATGTCTGCCTGCCGGCTTAGGCCTGATCCCTGGCAGTCAGACATCCCTTTCGCAGTCTGGGGCTCTTGCAGTCTGGGACCCCTGGCTTCTTACTGCGGGAGAGGCTCCTGCCACCGCCGCTGCACTCAGCAGCTGTGAGCCTGGCTTCTGGCTGAGCAGCACTCCCACTGTGGGAGTGCACTAACCACCAGGGGGCAGCTCCTGTGTTGAGCGTCTGCCCCCTGGTGATCAGTGCACATCATAGCAACTGGTCATTCTGGTAGTTCCACCGTAATGGTTGCTTAGGCTTTTATTATATAGAAGATAGTTTTCTAGTCTATGTAATTGCAAATATGTGCACAAACTTGCACCTTGTTACTTTTAACATTTTAGCTTAGACATTTTCTACATTGAAATAAACTCCCATTTTGTATTTATAATAGTTGTCAAATTATGTTTAGTTAATATAGTATTAGTTGTCTATTGGCAAACATTTAAACTGCTTCACAATTGTAAAAAAAAAAAAAATGCTATAAGAGACATCTTTACATATAAATTTCCTTCTGTTTTTCAGTTCATTTGCCATAGATGTCCAAAAGGAAAACTGCTTTGTTAAAAGGTATGAATATTATTTACTAAAGTTTATTGTAGGAGAGGTGTCTCGACTCCTCATTTTACAGATGGGAATTCTAGTCACCTACTGTCAGCCTAAGGCGAGCTCTCCTAATTTTGAGCCTTGGGTACGTAGTGGGAAATCAAAGCAGGATCAAAGACATGTTCTCCAGGATGGTTCTACAACACAATACCAAATTGGTGACCATGTGCATTAGGTAATTGTAAACCAGCTTTTAATGAATATATTTCAGGATTTCTCTCTTCAATATATGCAGGAAGTGATGTCACCCAGATGGCAACACAGGTCAGTCCTGACTTTACTTCCAACTAGCAAAAATTCACGGACAAGACACCAATGATTGAATCCTAGAACACGGGATGCTAGGCTGAAGCACACCCTGCACCACAAAGACCAAGACTGACTGCCCCCAAGCCAGTATTGCATCACACAGAGAGGTCTGCCCTGAGCCTTTAGTGACATCCAAACCCTTGAGTATTGTGGGTCATTTCCTGGGAGCTCTTACTCAGGTTTTACCCCAGGGACCGCAGGGGAATCTGCAGGACTCAACCACTGGGAATCTGGTTGTGATAGAGAAGCGGCGAGGGGCCTCCAACAACCAACATGCAGATCTTAGTAGACTGCCCTGATACCTGCAAAGCCCAAGTAGTAGCCCCAATGAGCAGCTTTGTGCGTCTGCAGAACCAAGTTGGTGGCACAGTGTGACCAGGGAACTCAGTGGGGTGCAGGCCTGCCAGATTTGAGTTCTCCAAAAGTTTTGCCAGTCCTGGAACCTGGTCTGCCCGTGCCCAGGCTAAAGAATTGAGTGTCATAGCCCCAAACACTTGAAACCTAGCTTCTGGCCCCTCCTGACTAAAAGGTCTGTTCAAGAAAATTTAAGTTGCCTGAAGTGAACCCTCCGAAGGCTCATCCAGACAGGAAGGGCTATATTACCTGGAAACTATATTACTCAGCAATGCTCAAGCTGAGAGGCAGGTAAGCAAAGCGATGGTCCCCAGAGCAAAACAAGTAGTCCTGTTCAGCCAGGCCAGTTGGAGCACAGGTGAGTTTGTGTGAAGACCACAGATGAAGAACCTTAGTGGCCTTGAAGCTGCTGCTCCCATTGCATCTGGGCAGAGAAGCTCTTTCATAGTCTCACTCATTGCTGAATACAGCCTTCAGACTGCCCTATCATCTAATAGTTCTGCTTACAGTGGCCCTTGAGTAGGTTGTGGCTTTTCCTATCTGTAGATAAAAATTGTGGCTTCACCTA